GGACCCAAAACCATCTTCTGTCTCCCATTATTCACTTGCAAACTCAGAGGTGCAAACACGTGGACATCCACCCGCATATCAACTCACTGATAAATCAATAAACCAAACACTTCTTTTTAGGTTTCCATATTGCTTTTTTAAAATTCAAATAACATTTTACCACCTGACTGCAGTTTCCTTCCCTCCCTCCCTCCTCTCCTCCCAGTCCTCCCCACCCCCCATACCCTCCTTCCCATATACACCTCTCCCCTTCCACTCATCCTCCATCTTCACTCAGGAAGGGGTGACCTCCCATGGGCTTGATGTGCAGAGCCCAGTGCAGCATCAAGTTGAGGCAGGACCCAGCTCCTCCCCTTTTGTCAAGACTAGGCAAGGTAATGTAGCATGGGGAACAGGTCCCCAAAAGCCAGATAAACACCAGAGACAGATCCTGATCTCACTGCTAGAAACTTTACAGACCAAGCTACACACTGTCACACATGCAGAGGACCTAGGTCAGTCCCATGTAGGCTCCCTAACTGTTGGTCCAGACTCCATGTGCTCCCATGAGCTCGGGTCAGCTGTCTTCATCCTGCTTGGCTGTGAATCTCTGCATCTGCTTCCATCAGTTACTAGATAGAGTATCTTTGATGATAATTAGGGCAGTAACCAATCTGCTTACAGTAGATGGCCAGTCCACAAATCTTCTCTACTATTGCTAGGAGTCTTAGTTGGAGTTATCCTTATGGGTTCCAGGCTTCTCCCTAACCCCCAAATGGCCCTGCTATCAAGACATCTCTTTCATTACTCTTCCCCTGCATCCTGCCTCCCATGCCCAACCTGGTTAATCCCACTTTTTCAAGTCCCCATCCCTCCACCCCTCCATCCCTCATCCCTCTCCCAGTTTACCCAGGAGATCTCTTCTGTTTTCCTTTCCTAGGGAAATCCATGTATCCTTCTTTGGACCTTCCTTGTTATCTAGCTTCCCTAGGGGCTGTGGATTGTAGGTTGACAAACGAAATACTGCAAGACTATTCTGCGAGAACTGGGGTTGGTATGTAAAATGAAAAACAATTGTTTTAAATACAAAAAAGAAGAGAATATTCCAATGCAATGGTAATGTAAACACCTCCTGAGAGTGGCTGGACCTAGAACTTAGTTGGTGGCATTCTTGCCTCCTGTGTGCACAGCTTAGAGTTTGAGCTCTATCAACACCACCCACAAGGAGTGTCCCATAAATTCAAGAAGTAGAGCCAGGTGCATTGTCAGAAGTTCATGGTCATTCTTAGCTACAAAGCAAGTTTGATTGACCCAAGACTACATAGGACCTTGTCCGAAAACAACAGCAATTAAACAGACCCGTAGGGAAAAAGTAAAGGGGTAGAATAAGAGTTCAAGGATGTTGTGGGCACGAAGGTCCTTGTACCCACAGATCTCTAAGGAACACAAGAATATAGGGCATTCGGGATTTTTTTTTCAAAGGCAAGGACGTAAAACCTCTTTTTCCAGAAATCTGGGGATTGGAAGTGATTAATAGCCTGATGATCTGCATTCTCTGTTGGGCCAAGCCATATCAAGCTCCTACAACCAGGTAATCTAAATGACCCTTATAGTGGGGCCTCCTCAAGCCCCCACAGCTACGACTAAAGAGATAGAATAGTCTAAATGACTCTTATTACACTATCTGTATAGTCAGGGGTCCCACAAAACTCCCACAATCAGGACCAGAGGTGGCTAATAGCCCAAAAGTAACCTCTATGCTATCTGTATGACTGAGACGAGGCCAGACCCTTAAAGCCTTAAACTAGTACAGGTTGCCTATCTGTAGAAGCCATCTGTTTGGAAGAAATGACATGTTTACTGAGTCAAGTTCCAATAGAATTACAATTCCTCATGAACCAGGGTTTGTGCTACACCGGGAAAACTTTTCTTTTCTTCTTCTTCTTCTTCTTCTTCTTCTTCTTCTTCTTCTTCTTCTTCTTCTTCTTCTTCTTCTTCTTCTCCTTCTCCTTCTCCTTCTCCTTCTCCTTCTCCTTCTCCTTCTCCTTCTCCTTCTCCTTCTCCTTCTCCTTCTCCTTCTCCTTCTCCTTCTCCTTCTCCTTCTCCTTCTCCTTCTCCTTCTTCTCCTTCTCCTTCTCCTCTTCTCCTCCTCCTTCTCCCTCTCCCTCTCTCCCTCCCCCGCCCCCTCCCCCTCCCTCTCCTCCTCCTCCTTCTAATCACAGTGTGTAAACTTGTTGGAAGTAAACAGCCTGAGATCAGCCTCCCTGAGGCCAGTCAATCTGATTGTAGTTTTCATTCTCACCTCTTGGGGGTTCACTTCCCTGCTGTCACCACCTACAGAGCCCCCCTCACAAGGGCAGTCTAAATAAAATCTAAAGGTTGCTGGAGCTTACAGAGAAAACTCACTGAACATATTCGACGACCCAACCTGTTGTTGTTTAAGGCTGGTGTCCTGGAATTTATTGTGCGAATTCAGGGAGATGTATGTGACTTTAACCAGGAGATAATTTAATATGAAGAAAAAAGTAAGTACTGTGTTATTTCTACCATGGTGGTGTTCTTACAACTCTACCCACACACAGTCTGTTTATATAACCCATTTGTTTAGCCCTGTAGCAACACTAAACCCCCTTCAAAATCTATTGCTGTATTTTAATGTTTACACATTCAATGAAATGTTCCTGAGATGTTCATACAGGGTGTCCAGAAAATTTGTTTAGATTTATCATTTCACGTGTCTGTGTGTTTAGCTTGCATGTATGCATTGTATACAAACCACACACGTGTCCGGTTCCTTGGTGCCCTTGAGAGTTCAGAAGAGGACAGTTCCCTGGAACTGAAGTTACAGATAGTTATGGACCACCACTGGGTGCGGGTAATCAAACTGGGGTCCTCTGCAAGATCAACAAATGTTCTTAACCTGTGCACCCACCAACTCCCCAGCTCCCTGCATGTTGACTTGTTATTAGCAGCCAGTCTTCACATTCAGCCGCTTGGAAGGAAGTAGCTTGAGGGGCGCTCTTGTGATCCCCCACACACCTGGAAAACTCCCTAGAAATGGATTCATTGGACATTTTAGAGTCCATCCATTGATGTCTTTATAGCTTCCCTTACTATCTGTGTTGATCTCTCTGGGTGATACCCTCTTATCCCTGGACTGAATTTCCTGCAGGTTTTGCTAGACTCATGAATTTTGCTATGAAAATGTCTTATAATACATATATCAGATTCATTTATGAGGGTCCATGCCATGGTGGCCAGCTCCACTTGATGGTTCAGATTAGAGGAATAGTCCAGAACAGGAGAGATGGCTTGAAGGTTAAGAGCACTGACTGTTCTTCCAGAGGCCCTGAGTTCAGTTCCCAGCAAGCATTTGGTGGCTCACAACCATCTATAATGAGATTTGCTGCAGGGATACGTGCAGGCAGAACACTGTATACATAATAAATAAATCTTTAAATAAAAAATAGTCTAGAATCTACTTTTCTAATATGTTTCAAGACTATTATTATTATTGTTGTTGTTGCTGTTGTTGTTGTTGTTTTTGGAGACAGAATATTTTGTGTAGCCCTTGCTGCCCTGAAATTCCTGCATAGATCAGGTTGGCCTCAAACTCACAGAGATCCACCTGCCTCTGCCTCCGAGTGCTGAGATTAAGGGCATGCAACACCACCACCCATCTATTATTACTGTTGTTGTTGTTGTTGAGACAAGGTCTTCCTATATAGCCTTGGCTGGCCTGGAACTCACTATGTGGACCAGGCTGTCCTCAGAGAGATGGCCTCCCTGCCTCCCTTGAGTGCTGAGATTAAAGACCTGTGCCACCACACCCAGCTTAATGATTTATCTCCTTCACTTGCTTGATTTAAGAAGGGGGGAGGCTTCCTGCTCATTGTGCCAATGCTTTACTGTGCCAATCATACTTCACCACCACCTCTTCCTCATAGTGCACTGTGGAAGTTGAATATAACATGATGGCCATTGCAGAAAGGACCTTTCTCTACCATATCACACGGTCAGTAGTGATATCGATTCCCACCCTTTCCCAAATCAACATTCTCCATCCAGTTGCAGAATGTTCCAGAATGACTAGAGTCTCCTTAAACTTGTGGAGGTTGTCCACTCCTTTGTAGAGAAGAGAGTCGGGAGATTCAGAGACAGGGTGGTGGAGCCCAAAGCAGCAGAATAGTATATAATGAAGGTTTGGCGCCTCTTCTATCCACAGTACCGGCAGCATCCTGCCCACCTGAAGGGAGTTGGTTCGGAATTCACAAAGAGTGGAGTAGTGGGAATACGGAAGGGGAAAGGATACAGGGGACGGTGTGTGTGTTTGTGTGCGTGTGCGTGTGTGTGTGTGTGCTGGCTCTGCCCATAATGGACATCTCCTAAGCCCATGAGAAAAGACAGGAATACAGGTAGATGAGAAAGGAAATGCAACTTGGAATCGCGTAGACCTGTTTCCAGAATTCGGACTGTTTTCCCATTCACATCAGAAATGACATTGTCACCATTGGCTTTTAAGCTGAGCATCCCCTTGAGAGCGGAAATTTGGGAATGCATAACGGATTCAGACCCAGGAATCCACCTTACTGTGGCCTTGATGATCAGAGGAATGGAAACACTAGCGCATCTGTGACCATTACAACATCTGCTGGAGTCGCTTTAACTCCTTGCATACCATTTCCATAGCTTCCACCTCTTTGTGTCCTTGTTTCCAGGGTGCATCTTCTCTGAACTACATTACCCAGAAGAGACAGCGCAGGAGGGCTCAGCCAATGAAAACTGCCGCTTCCGCGGGCTTTAACAAAAAGAAAAAAAGGAAAGACAAGACAAAAAACCATTGGGACTTAGTGGTTGTTTTCCTGGATGCTCCAGTCAAGTATTGGAAAACTGTTTTTTTTACACCTCGTTGTCCAGGACTGGAAGTCTGGAGAGGAGCGAGGCTTTGTGCTCTTGCACCAGACAGGGTTTGAAGTCTGCAACGATCCCGTGTGACAGGTTGCAGGCCTGGGGAAACAGCCATGTCTATGGACCCAGCTGTCCAGCAGAGTCAGACTTCGGTGGCTGGGCAGGGAGCCCAGGCACAGGTGCGTACCACGTGATCACGGCTTGACTGAATGGAGACTTGGTGGAAAAGCCTGGGAAGATTTGTGAGTGTAAGGCATGCTCAGGGCCACAAAAAGCTAGGCAGTTTTTTGGTTGGGGTTTTAGTGTGTTTGAAGACGGGATCTCATGTAACACAGGCTGGCCCCAAACTCACAATCGTCCTGTTACAGACTCCCGGACGCTGGAATTACAGACATGTGCCCCCCTCCCATTTGAACAACCAACTTTCCTTCTTTTCTTCCAGCCTCCCTCCTTCCCTCCACCACCCCTCCCTCCCTCCTTTCCTTCTTCCCCCCTTCCTTCCCATTTTCTCTTTTTGTTTGAGGCAGGGTCTCACTGGCTGGCTAGAAGGGTTACCTGAACAACAGTTCAGGCTGGCCTCGCACTCAAAAAGGTTTGCTCATCTCTGGCATGGGCCAATCTTTCTTCTTTAAAAAAAAAAAAAAAAAAAGAAGAAGAAGAAGTATGATTTTGTGTTTGCCTTCATGTATGTGTGCGGCGGGGGAGGGGAGAGGTGCGGGGGGGGGGGGTGGAGTATGCATGCTATGGTATTCATGTAGAGGACAGAGGACAACTTTTGTTGATTGTTTCTCTCCATCCACCTTCATGCAGGATGTGGGAATTGAATTTAGATCGTCAGGTTTCTGCAGTACACTCCCACCAAACCATCTCAGCAACCCAGACCTGAATTCATCCTGTAGGCACACAGATCTCACATTTCCCCCTCCACAAGAAAGAAATCCCCGTCGAATGGGTCACGTTTTCCCTAGGTTGCCCTGTTCCTGATTGCCCAGGCTGGGTTGCCACTGCCTGGGGTGTCTGTCTGCTCTGCTGTTAGTACAGTTTCTCTAATCCACTCAGCTTCCGGCTGAGGAAGAAAGGCTGAAGGTTTATTACTACTTTATGGTCCTTAGAGTGGAACCCAGGGTCTCCTGCACGGTCATCCCCAGCCCTTGACTGGTGACCGCAGCTGACTCAGAGCCAGCTCCAAGGATGGAGTTCCCTGATCCAATGTGGTGTTGGTTGGCATCTGAATGACTGGACATTCCTAGAGTGTGAGGATTCTGGATTGTGATTGAGACATGGCTATCAGTGAGATAGATTCAGCTCAGCAGGCCTTCACACCTCAGGTTCTGCCTCTTGGTGTTCTCACTCAGAACTATCTGATGAGTACCGGTTGAAGCAGAATTTGGTTAAGATTCACACATGAATGGACAATTCAAACATCATGGAAATAACGGTACAGGAGCACTTAACAATTGCTTGAAAACATATTCCGGATTTGACTAAAGCCTGGTGGGTTAGGTTAAATATCCCATTCTTTTATCTGTTTGCCCTCTTGCTTGCCTTTGTTATGTGTTGCCTGCACGTATGTCTGTCTGTGTACCACGTGTGTGCTTACTGCCTGCAGAGCCCAGAAGGTATTGGATCCCCTGGGATTGGAGTTGCAGTGTGGGCTACCATGCAAATGCTAGGAATCAAACCAAGTCTTCTGGAAGAGCAGCCAGTGTTAATAGCCGAGCCATCTCTCTGGCCCTAAATTCTTAAATAAGTGTCTACAAAATAAAAGCATACTTTATAAAAGTGTGCCCACGTGCTTGGCTTTGAGGGGAAAATGATTGTTAGTTCTTTGAGAGTTTCTTTCACTGTCTTTTGATCATATCCATCCCTTCCCCTAAGTCCTCCCAGATCCACCCTGCCTACCAGTTCAAGCCATCAAGTTCACTTTGTGTTAGCTATTCACTCTTGGATGTATGGCCCTCTGCTGGAGCTTGGTTGATTTACCAAGAACTATACTCTTAAAGAAAAAAGATTCTGGGTCTCCCAGTAGCTCTCAGTTGCCAATAGTCCCTTTGTTAGGAGTGGGACGTTGTGTCTACCATCCCTCTCCATGGTCTGGCCTGACCACGCCCAGCTCTTGTGTGCGCTGTCACAATTGTCATGCGTTCATATGTGCAGCTACCTTGCTACGTCTGGGAAACACTGTTTTCTTGTACTTAGCTTCTACCTCTGGCTCTTCCATTTCCACCACTCCCCCGCCCCCTCCCCCCCCCTCCGAGCCATGGGAAGAGAGAGGGGTTAGTGCAGGGCTAAGCATTCCAAAATCTCTTACTCCTTGCATCTTGGCTAGTTGTGGCCCTTTGTATTGATTACCATCTTCCACAAATAGAAGCTTCTCTGATGAGGATTGAGAGACGGTTGATCTATGGGTGTAACAATAAGGCATTGAGAGTCCATTTAATACCACACCCACAATAATAGGAGGTTCTCCTCCAGGGCCTAGGACCTGCATAAACAAAGATTCTTGGTCCCAGAATGGTGTCAGCATGGGAGTTTGTCTTGTGGTGCAGGATTTAAGTCCAATCAGAAAATGGTTGGTTCCAAGCACTCAGGAGGCAGAGGCAGATGGATCTCTGTGAGTTCGAAGCCAGCCTGGTATACAGAGATAGTTCTGTTCACAATGGCCAGAAATAGAAACAGTCCAGATGATCCTCAACTGATACTGTATAATGAAAAGGTGGTACATTTACATATTGGAATATTATCCCACTGTTGAGTAAAACAAAATTATGACATGCACAGGTAAACAGATGGAGTTGGAAATGGTCATTTGGAGTGAGGTAGCCCATGTCCAGAAAGAGAAATGTTATATGTTTTCTTTCATTTGTGGATGTTAACTTTGAATCTTCAGATGTGTGTGTTAAATTTAGATTGCCCAGAGAAGCTAGAAAATTGACATGTGGGAGGCTTTCAAGGGAGGGGAGATAGGATGTAATGATATAAAGGGATAAAGGGAATAATGGAACAGTAAGAGTTAAATTTAGGTGTAGGAGGTAAGGGTAGAGAGGGAGTTGGGGGAGAAAGGAGTAGCACTAAAAACTTTTTGAGAAATCATATGGGAACCGTGTGTAGCATCTCATACCTTTAATCCCATCACTCAGAAGGCAGAGGCAAGTGGATCTCTATCAGATCAAAGCCAGCCTGGTCTATATAATGAGTTTCAGTACAGCCAGGAATATACAGAGAGAGAGACCCTGTCTTGAAAAAAAAAGCAAACAAAATTTTAAAACCTTACAGAAATTCACTACTATAGAAGCTTCCTAACACACACACACACACAGAGAGAGAGAGAGAGAGAGAGAGAGAGAGAGAGAGAGAGAGAGAGAGAGAGAGCTCTATAATGGGATGTGTTTGATTTCTTGCTGCAATAAAGACCACTATCAAACAAAACGTTGGAGGAAAGGTTTATATTTGGCTGTCTTAGAGTTTCTATTACTGTGACAAAAACCACAACCAAAGAAACTTGGGGAGGAAAGGGTTCATTTGGCTTATATTTCCATATCACTGTTCATCACCAAAGGAAGTCAGAACAGGAACTCAAACAGGGCAGGAAGGTGGGAACTGATGCAGAGGTCATGGAGAGGTGCTGTTTATGGGCTTGCTCCTCATGGCTTGCTCAGCCTTCTTTCTTATAGAACCCAGGGCACCACACACCATGGGCTGCCCCCCCCCCATTAACCACTAATGAACAAAACTCCCTACAGCCATTCTCATGGAGGCATTTTCTCAATTGATATTCCCTTCCTTCAGATAACTCTAGCTGTGTCGAGTTGCTTTAAAACTAGTCATCACATTGGCTTATACTTCTGTTTCATAGTTCATCATTGAGCAAGTTGGGCATGGACTCAAGGCAGGAACTGCCTTGACCATAGAGAATTGTTGCTTTCTGGCTGGTTCCCCAGGCCTTGCTCTGCTTGCTTCTGATGCTGCTCAGGTGTACCTTTTCAGGGGTGATGATGACACTGTAGGCTGTGTCCTCTCACATCTGCCATCAATCAAGGAAGTCCCCCATACACATGCCCACAGAACAGTCTGATGATAATTCCTCAGTTGAAGTTCCCTGTTTCTTTGTCTTAAGTTGACAGAAACTACCCAGCATACTGGGAAATCGTGCACCCCATCCCCAAAACAAACAAGAAGCTGTAAGGAGTACAGGTTTTTTCCGCCTGCCGCCTGGTCTTGTCCCGCCGCCGCACCAGCCCCAAATAACACACTCAGACTCTGTATTAGATATAATTCTGTTGGCCAGTTACTATTTTCTTATGGGCTAGCTCTATCTTAATTATTAACCCATTTCTATGTATTTCCACGTGGTCTTCTTACCAGGCAGTGGGGCCGGCATCTTGTTTCCCCAGTCTCTCCATGCTGACTCCTCCTTACACTTCCTCTTTCCTCCTTGTCTCCTAGTCCCACCTATCTTGCTTTCCTATTGGCCAACAGTGCTTTATTCATTAAACCAGTATGAGAAACATATACAAAATGACATCTCCCATCAAGAAGCCTAGTGCCAAGAATGGGTTACTGCTTTCAGAGTTGTTGGCCAGTGAGATCCCATAGGCTATGGTTGGTGCACTTGGCTACGTTTTAGAATTTGACATTAAGACTCTGGGGCTGAAGACATATTCCACTTGAGTCATAAACCATGGAGAAGTCACACTGGCACTCACCTGGAAGTGCCATCCCTACATGGTGCCTTTCATAGTGCTGGAAGGTGCTATGCATGCATGCTACCAGAGAAAAATAGGCACTAATCTCAATGAGCTATGCACCCTGAACCTATACTAGCAGCCTGGCAGTGCCCATTTGTGCTGAAGGTCTTGACTGCAGTATTATATAGCCAGGGAGGGACTGCACAGAGAACTTGACAGGTAGGACTGAGTGCCATGTGATAGTACTCCTGTCAAGGAAAGGGCGTCATCCCCATGAACTACAAGACAACACCGAAGAGTTATTGACACAGTTGATAGGAGACCTCATTGAGCTCTGAAGCTCAGCTTAGACATCCTTGACTGAGGTATGAGGGGGACTCGGATGATCCTTCCTGATGTCAAGATCATTGCTTTTTACTCACAGCCTGCTTTACCCACAGGTTCCTGTAAGTGCAAAAGCATCGGCTGACTGTAAAGAGGTAAGTGGAAGGTGCCCCAGGAACTCACACTCTTCATTTAGTTCCCTCATAAGTGGTGTCTGGGACTCCTTGCTTGCTATTCTCCTGTCCTCCTATCTTATTTCCATGGAAGATGACTATGGAATGTAAGGTCTATGCATCCAGAGTAGGAATTATACGGATAGGCTCCATTTATGGAAGCCACTCCCCTGAGAGTCAGAGGTATTCAAGTTCCAGTGATGAGTATTGGGAAATGCCAGGAAGTGGGATGGATTAGAATGCCCAGAGAGATTTGCTCGATGTGGTGGAAGGCAGCACTTGGGAGTGTACAGTAGATGAGAAGCTGTGGGCTTGGATACTACAATGGGAAAGGAGGGGCATTATGAAGAGTGATGTGCATAGTAACAGGAGTATGAATAGATGGACTCCGAGCTCGCTTGCCCTGGATGGAGTGGAGAACAGTGACTCAGAGCTGCACAAATCTGGTTAGCATGATGGGGAGGAACCTATGGAAACTGTGTGATGAGAAAGCGGCACTATCCACATTAAATGTCAAAACTGGGTGACTTTTATTCATCTGCCTGCCTGTGGCTAGGGCTGAAAACACTGGAACCTTGAGCAGAGACTGGCTGTCGGTGGATGAAGATCCTCGTGCCCTCTGGAGAAGAAAACTAAACAGGAGCGGCTGTATTGGGCATGTCAAAAGTTCAAGGGAAGGAGACCTTTCCTTAGTAATTCAATGCTCTCTTGTGGCAGGGTTGTGTGACTTTTAATGACGTGGCTATCTACTTCTTGAGGGAGGAATGGACACTGCTTGATGGCTCTCAGAAGCGTCTGTACCACCATGTGATGATGGAGGTCTTCGTTCTCATGTCCTCATTGGGTAAGTCTCCCCCACCCCCATTCTGTAAGAGCATCCTGTCTGGCTTGGCTTCTTTTCTAGAGAGATGTCTCCTTCCCAAACTGGTCCATGGACCACTGCTTCTTACCCCACCATCCTGGAGTAGGAAATAGAGGTGAAAGACCTGGGCATCTTCTTTCTCTTAAGTACAGCAAGGGATACAGGAAGCAGCCTAGGACGAAGAATCCTATAGTGGCTTTATAGAGTTCAAACTGATGACCCCTCTGTGACACTGTAAATACATGGCATTCCTATGACACAGGTAATGTTCTCTTCCTCTAGGTGACTTGGGTCTGCCTGTGGGAGTAATTGTGGCAGTGATGTGGACACTGTTTGGTGGATTTTCTAGCAAGATCTTTGCAAGGGTCTTTGTCATTAGTTTTCTTTGCTGTGGATTGCCATGAGTTACATCACTCTGATTTGGTATGGGACATTGACCTGTCCTCCTCTTCACTTTAGGACTCATACCTTCAGGGACCCATGACATCACTCAGCTAGAGTCTTCAAGAGCTCACTTCATCCCTGCACTGAGATTTCTGACTCCAAGTATGTAGACAGGTCCTTGGAGGGTGGAGATTGCTGATGTATGTACTCTGGATTGGTTCATATGAAGTATCTTTCTGTTGGTTCTGATGTTTTGGTGCCAGGGCAAAGGATCATAGTAGAGTCCATCTGTCTATGCTTGCCCAGTTGCTGACCAGTCCTTGCTATTATTTCATAGTCAGGGCTCTCTTTCTCTCACCTATGAATTTGTGTGTTTTGCCTGCTCCCCTGAGGCACTATATAACACTGGTTTCCCTTGACCGTGTTGTTAGTGTATGCAAGTCCCCTGAGCAGTCCTTGAATACAGGTCCTTTGGGTGCAATGAGTTGAGCATCTTTATCTTAGAGTTTCTTTTACTGTGATAAAACTATGGCCCAAAGCAACTTGAAAGAGTTTATCTCATCCTGCATTTCCCAGTTACAGCCCAGCTCTAAGAATAATTCAAGGCAGGAACTCAAGGCAAGAACTGAAGCAGAGGCCATGGAGGAAACTTCTTACTGGCTTACTCTTCATGGCTTGCTCAACCAGGGTCACCTGATCAGGGATGGAGCCACCCCCTTATGAGCTGGACTCACCTACATCAATTATTAATAAAAATATGACCCTTGATTATTTTATGAAGGCACTTTTACAATTGAGGTTCCCTATTCTCAGATGAGCCTAGCTTGTGTCACGCAGGACACAACCAGGACAGTCTCCAACAATTAAGGCTCTACAGAAAGCTATTTTCCGAGGAAGGAGTTTCAGGTCCCTACCACTCCTCCATGTGCTGTATGCTGTTCTTGTGTTTTTGCTCATGAGGTTTCCTGGGGCAGGGATCTTCATGCTTCATTGCTGTAGCAGGCCCTGCCCATCTTGAAGTTTCTGTGAGAAACCTCAGGTACTGATCACTTGTGTATGTTGCCACTTCAAAGTCTAGATATCCTTGATCATTGTTTCTCTATGTTTGGCTTGCTGTAAAGGAGTTGAGGTTGAAAAGATACGTTGTGAGAAGAACATTTCCAGTGAAGAAGGGCTTAATGTGACCACGCCCCAACAGCAAGAACTGAGCTGTGCTGAGAAATCCTTACAGAGAAAAGAGAACAGGATACCAGTTGTGAAGATCAAGAAATGCGACCTTGCAGACAAGGGTTTTCAAAGCACAGACAATGTGAGGGACCCCCAGACTCCCTCAGGTCCTCTTGGGCATCATGCGACTCACAGTAATACAGAGCCACCCCGGAGCACTGAGAGAAAAAAGGCCATTCACAGTAAGAAGAGAAACTTCAAATGCTGTGACTGTGGCAAATCCTTCAGTTGTAAGTCTCTGCTTATTCGACACCGGAGGATACACACTGGAGAAAAGCCTTTCAAATGCACTGAATGTGAGAAATCCTTCATCCAAAAGGCTGACCTGAATCAACATGTCAAAGTTCACACTGGGGAGAAGCCTTACAGATGCAGCGAATGCGGGAAAGATTTCAAACACAACCGCTCCCTCGTTGGGCATCAAAGACTTCACACGGGAGAAAGACCTTATAAATGCAGCCAGTGTGGGGAGTCATATATGAACAAATCCAGCCTTATACGTCATAATCGACTCCATACTGGAGAAAAGCCTTACAAGTGCAGCGAGTGTGGAAAATTATTTAAGGAAAGATCCAGCCTTGTTTATCATGCCCGAGTGCACACTGGAGAAAGGCCCTTTAAGTGCAGCCAGTGTGGGAAGTGTTTTAAAAAAAACTCACACCTCGTGAAACACCGAAAAGTTCACAGCAGAGGAAAACCTTTCAAGTGCAATGTGTGTGGGAGATCCTTCACTATGAGGTTCAGCCTCATTAGACATCAGAGATTTCACACTGCAGCAAAGCATCATGAGTGTAAGGACTGTGGGAAAGTGTTTTGCTACAGAACTGGACTTTCTAGACACCGGAAGACTCACGCCGAACAGAAGGATTGAGTGGCATGAACATGGGAGATAGTTTTTATCATCTACTGTATGCACACAACAGAATGTTCACTGGACGAACATCAAGAATGTTTCAAGTATGAGGAGCCCTCACCCACACTTCCATCCTATTTCACTGGAGAGGCCACAGTACTGGGATGCATCACGAGCCCACTGACTCTAGGAAAGCCTTTGAGCAAATGTCTGCTCTCATTAGTATTATATGGAAAACCCAGATAGGTCTGTGAATGCAGACAAAACTCTTCAGTCATGAGCCAACCTTGTTCAGTCCTAGGAGTGAAACAGACATTGAAGAGAAGTCCTGAGAATGGCCTTTGTGAGGGAGCCATTCAATGAAAGTTACTCAACAAATAAGAACGTTGGGGCAAGATGAGAATTATTGTCATCTTCCTATTCCCAAGAAATTGGCACTTACTAGGAAGCAAAAGGAAGAAGCTCTGTGATTTTTATTGTTGTGTGTGGTTTTTGTTGTTGGTTTGGTTTAGTTTGGTTGGGGGGGGGATTGCTTGATTTTTGTTTTATTTTGGTTTTGTTGTTGTTGTTGTTTTGTTTTTGCTTTTTTGAGACAGGGTTTCTCTATGTAGCCCTGGCTGTCGTGAAACTCATTCTGTAGACCAGGCTGGCCTTGAATACAGAAATCAACCTGCCCTTACCTCCTACATGCTGGGATTAAAGATGTGCATCACCCAAGCCTGTGTTCTTGACTACACCAGTGTAGTCAAGTAGGCTTCCATGTTACTGAGTTCAAATGGAGGAGGAACAGAGTGGTTTCTGTTTAAATAAGAAAATAAGACACTGTTTTTCTTGCTGTTGTTGTTTGCTCTTTTTTTTCATAATAACAGTTATAAAAGGGCTAATAGCTGTGAGAGCTTTACTAATTAGTTTTCTCATTGATACAACCAAATATTTAAGATAAGCAACACAGGGAACTTGAGATTTATATTATCTGGTTTATGTTTCAGGGCATGGAGTCGGTGATGGTGAAGAAGGCACTGCCCCTGGACCAAGTCCACACACTCAGATGCACATCACACACAAACACACACAGATCAATTTATAAAGAATGACTCCGGTAGGGTTGGTGGCATATGCCTTTAATTCCAGCCATAGCAGGTGGATCTCTGAGCTTGTGGCCATCCTGGTCTTCATCATGAGTTCCAGGCCAGCCAGTGCTATAGAGTCTCTGTTTCAAAAACAAACAAATAGACGAAACAAACCGGATGGTGGCAGCACACACCTTTAATCCCAGCACTTGGGAGGCAGAAGCAGGCAGATCTCTGTGAGTTTGAGGCCAGCCTGGTCTACATAGCTAGTTCTAGGACAGCTAGGGATGCTACACAAAGAAACGCTGTCTCAAAAAACCAACCCCCTCCAAAAAAATATAAGTAAAACACAACAATAAACAAAAAGCCTGCAGGGATATCTTGCAATCAAAGCTGTGTGGTGTTTTGAGCAACAGAGTCTTACTGTCTACCTCTGGTGAGCAGCTAAGAGGGATGACAGAAACTTGTAATTTTTGGGATGCCCCCATAGGCTTCCCTAGCTAACAACTCATAAGGAGGTATCTCACACTCAGTATTTTGGGCTTTTGTTTAATAACCGATTGCTTCCAGTACACAAGATATGCATACTTCTGAATTACTGGCATGACTTGTGGGTAGGCAACCACTCTTTGATGAGATGTAGGCCCACTCCTAAGGAGGGAAGCCATGCCTGGCACTGTTAACCCAGTCAAAACCCATGGTTGGGGAGATCACAGGTCCCAGACCTGAACTTAATACTGCTGTTTAGCTAATAGGCACAGCATAGAACTGGCTACTAAATACATGTCTATATTCCTGGACAAATGCTACTCTCAGCGTTAATGAGAGAAGCCCCTCTGTGGAGTGAATTCAAGTAGACGAAGAGGCTCTTGTTTGTGTAAGGGGCTGATGAGAAGTTACAGGTGCATGCTCAGCCCTGGACAAGGGTAAGGGATACTGAGAGAGAGGAGACAGAATGTAAGAGCTAGAAGATTGGAAGGGATGTGAGATGTCATCTACTGGGCAAGACATAATGATCCCAACAAGAAAGCCACACTATCTTCTGTTGTCTGCCCAAGGTTTGCATAAAATGGACAAATGAACTGGGGACTTTTTCAGGGATGCCAGCTATGCGCAGATTTCTGGAGAAGGGGAATTATCGGTTGTCCAGAGAATACTTTAAAGTAGATGTTCAACACATGGTCCTGGTTTAACCCAGTGGGAACAAAAGAAACAAAGCCCAGGAGGGGCTGTTGAGCCGGCCCAGGAGTTTAGAGCACCAAATGTTATTCCAGACTTGAAATAAAACAGGCTTTATATTGAATAAAGAAAGCTCCGCCTGACCACTATTGCCACTCTGTTCTGTCGTGAGGGCGCTTTTCTTGGACAAAGAATCCTTGTCCATTGTTTCCTGTGTCACCTTACGGTGCGGGTGCTTGCCACATCTTTGTATAAATTCCAGCAGGTTTTAGAAATATCTACCATGTTTCCAGGAGCAACATCGGCTCAGGAAGTAAATACTGTCTTTAAAAGAGTAAAAATTAAAATAAATAAAAACTGGAAACAATCAGGAACAGCAGCCCTATGCCCCAGGCGCATGACCCAGATCCCAGGGTGCTGTAACAATCAGGTAAGTCAGGATCATTTATCCCCTCATCCCGAGTCCCCAGACCAACTGACTGGGCTACCCGTAGAAGAACATGTACAGGGACATTCCCACCCAAGACTTACAGCCAGTCACACCATGTGTGCTGTCTAGGTGCCAGAGCACGAGACCCTCCCTATTCCTCTACCACCTTCCTGCCTTCTTGGTTTTCTTTTAGATAGAGGGTTTCTTTCTTTATTATTTTTTTTAATTTTTTTTCATTTACATACCAACCCCAGTTCCCCCTCCCTCCCTTCCTCTCTCCCACCTCTCCCCAGAGTGGGTAAGGCCTCCTCCCTTGGGTAGTCTACAAAGTCCGGCATACCAAGCTGGGCAGGACCAAGCCCAAACCCCTCCTGTATCAACATTGAGCAAGGTATCCTATAATAGAGAATGAACTCCAAAAGCCAGTTCTTGCACCCCAGATAGATCCTAGTCCCACTGCCAGCCCCACCCCCAACCCCAACAGATCAAGCTACATAACTGTCACCCACATCAGAGGGTCTAGTTCTGTCCCCTGAAGTCTTCCCAGCCGTCAATCCAGATCTGCGAGCTCCCACTAGCTTGGGTCAGCCATCTCTGTGGCTTTCCCCATCATGCTCTTGACCCATCCCCCCTGTTCATATGACCCCTCCTCCCTCTCCAACTGAACTTCAGGAGTTTGCTGTGGGTCACTGCATCTGCTTCCATCAGTTACTGGATGTAGGTTCTATGGTGACATTTAGGGTAGTCATTAATCTGATCCAAGGGGAAGGCCTATTCAGGGACCGAGAGGCTGTCCTGAAATTCGCTCTACGGAGCAGGTTAAGTCTTGAGCTCAGAGATTCAGTAGCCTCTGACTCCCCAAGTGCTGAAATTAAAAATGCAGGCTACTGTGCCTGCCTAACCGTCCAGGATTTCTGCACAGTCTTATCTGGGTAATGTAGTTCAGACAGCATGCACCACGGAGACCGTGACAGTTGTAGAAGTGGAACGTGCACAAACAGTATGAAAGAAATTAACAGGACTCCTGCGGGCACTGTCATAGTTGCAGATGTGCCAGTGTTTCCGTTTCCCTGAGCTGCTGCTGCTGCCCAAATCATTCCTTCTGAAGCACATCAACAGTGTCACAGCAAGCTGGTTTCCATTCCCCAGTTTCCCTTAGCATGGGCGTGCACACACACACACACACACAAAGTTATTCCTGACAACTCCACACTAGTGTGCAAAACCCCGAAGTGTCCCTGGTCGTGGTGTCACACACTTTTAATCTCAGCACTTGGGAGGCAGAGGCAGGCGGATTTCTGTGAGTTAGAGGCCAACCTGGTCTAAAGAGCGAGTTACAGAAGAACCATGGCTACACGGAGAAACCCTGTCTCCAAAAAAAAAAAAAAAAAAAAAAAAAAAAAAAAAAAAAAACCCAAACTAAAATAAAACAAAAAGCCGGTGAGGGGTGGGGTGGGGGTGGGGTAAGCGTCTGAATCTTGAAACCCGTAGTGAAGGAACCCTTGATCCCAAATATGTCCTTTTTGTCTTCTTCCATTGTTACCATTCCTGTATTTAGTGGCATGAACCTCGAAAGTTGCATTTCACACAAGGCAAAGGTCTCAAATGCAAAATTCAACATTGCCCTATGTCATGCACTTATACCATTAAACAAATTAACAATGTCTCACTATGTAGACCTACCTGGCCTGGAACACACTATGACAGGCTGGCTTCTAAAACAGAGCTCCGCCTCTGCCTCCTGCAGTTCTGGAACTTTGAAGAGTTCCAGCAAGCTCAGCCTTGTAGCAACCACACCCAACTCACTTGGAAAATATTACCGAGTCTATAATCACAATATTCTCAGCACCAGTCCCCATGAAACCCACGAAAAATGAGTCTCCTCCATCTGGACAGTTGTGTCCTGAGCTGACAGTTGATCCTTTTTGAACTACATTGCCCAGAAAACATTGCAAAAGGTTCGGCCAATGAAAATTTGTAGTTCAGTGATGACAAAAAAAAAAGTTGGGCGGGACTTTGGGCTTTACGTGAAGGAGATTCTTTGTAACTTCCTGGACCCGTCAGTATGGTTCACAGAAAACTGGTTTCATCTGCGTTGGCCATGACAAGAAAACCGGAGCGTTAGAAACGTTTCTCCTTGATCACAGAGACGGACCTGAGGTTTGAGACGACCCGTGTGACCTGATCCAGGCTTGGAGTAAGTAATGGCCATGTCCCAGGGCCCCACCATCCTGTGGAGTCCGATGGTGATCGTGGAGGCTGCGGGTGGAGCTCTGCCCCAGGTGAGTGCTTGGTGATCGCCCGTCTACCTGAGTTCTAGAGCTTTGAGATCAGGATCAGGAGCCAACAGATCAGGCCCGGCGTCCCCGATTGTAGGACACTGGTGGATGAGACATTTAAATGCTAGAGAGCGATTCCCTCTGACTCACCCGACGTTTAGTAGGCTGCACATCCAAAGGCTTGCAGGCCCGCATGAGCGAGCTCATAGACAGAAGCCCTGGAGTGACCCCTGCTGGCATTAATTAGATGGTGGAAAGATCGCAGTGCGCCCACGGAGCTTTTATTTGTGGAGATGCAGGGGGGGTGGGGGTGGGGTCGCGGTAGGTCTGAACAGAAGAGAGACTTGATCTATTCAGAGTTTTCCAAACCTCCCCGGGGAATATTGGGCATGGATAAGGTGACGTGGATGGAGGTATATCCTGTGGACCAACGCAGGAGTTAGAGGTGTAGACCATAGAAGTGAAGAGTAGTCTTCAGATATCTGGTAGATTTTCACTATTTTCTTCCTCGGAGACAGTACTGGCGGTCCTGGAACTCGCTATGTAGACGAGGCTGGCCTCAAACTCACATAGCTCCTCCAGAGTGATTGGATTCAAGGCGTGGCCTCCACCTCCGACCTCTCTGATAGATTTAAAAATAAATACTCCCCCCCCTTTTTTTTATGTGAAAACATTCATCACTTGAGTAAAGTTTACTGTGTTAACTGTCACTATTTACCCCGATTGGATTCACCATGCGACTCTGAGTGGCCTATGTAGCCTCAGACTCACAAGAGTCCTGCTTTCCTTTGCCTTCCATGTGCTGCAATTAAAGGGGTGTATCACTATGGCTGGCTAATATTAAATGCCCCTCCCCCCCCCCACAGGGTTTCTCTGTAGGATTAAAGGCATGGGCCACCCACTACAGCTAGGCTCCTAAATTCTTTTTTTTTTTTAATTTTATATAACCAAGTCCATTTAAATGAAAACAAACATTTATAGACAATATTTGGGAATTTGGGCGTTGTTCTTTCCAAACTACTTCCTGCTGGTAAGGGGCGCTGTCATGGGGGATTCTAAGAAGATGCAGAAATCCTGGCTGTAGTCTGTAAGACTGCTTTGTCCAACTGTTTTGAATGTAGGATCACGTCGTACTCTGTTTTAGGCGGTCTGGCTTGATCAAACCACATGAGTCTGGAAGGAATCCACATCTTTTCATTTTCTGTGGAAACAAAAATAGAAATCCTTTTCCCCAGTAACTTGTCCTTGAACTTAAATTTTGGAGTCAAATCATTTTTTAATTTAATTTATTATTTTACATGTTGATCCCGGTTCCCTCTCCCTCCCTCCCTCCCCCAGCCCTCCCTCCCTCCCTTTTACCCTCTCTGCCCTCTCACATGCACCCTAACCACCCTCCCCTCCCATCCCCCCACCCCAATTCCATATGTAGGGGAATGCCATCCAGTTGGGGTCATGTAGATCTGACAGGTCCTGTGAAGTAGGGACTAGGGCTTCTCTCCTGTCTCTAGATTAAGGCAGTTATCCCTCCATGGGGGATGTTAGGCTCCTAAATTCTTAATGAAATGTATGTAGATAAAACCATACATCCTGGAAATAATTGTTTAAGTGTTTGCGAAACTCCTGACACAAGCATTAGCATGCACCCAGGAAAAGCCTGCACTGAGCGCTTGACACATGGTACTGAATTTGATGCAATGGTTTTCCTTTTGAGCTAGGACTGTGTGGTGTTTGGGGGAGAATGGCTCTCATAGGCCCATGTGTTTCAATGCTTTGTCACTAGGGAGTGGTACTGTTTGAGAAAGATTAGGAGGTGTAGCCTGGTTGGAAGCGTGCAGCTGGGAAAATTTGCCATTGTCACATTATCTCCTGTCCCTGCCTGCCTCTCTCTCTCTCTCTGCCTGCTGCTTCTATATCGGGATGTGAAACTCTCAGCTACCACACTAGCACCATGTGTGTTTGCTTGCCACCCTGGTATCAGGTGGCTAACAGCATGGAACTACAAACAAGCCCCCACTTAAACACTTTCATAAGAGTGGCCTGCATCACCGCCTCCCATCACAGCCATAGAACAGAAAACAAGACAGACAAGCTGCCATTCTTGCCCTCAGAGAACAAACTGAGGAGATTGATTCCTTGTCCAGTAAGGGACACCATTAAAGGATGGAGCCCAGGCGGCAGTTGGGCCAGCCTGACTGCACGTATGAGAGGGGACTTGGATGAACCTGTGGGATGCCAACACCCTCATTTGTTACTCACAGTCTTGTTTTTCTACAGGTTTCCCATTACTCAATGAAGCCTCCCAACCAGGAAGAGGTGAGTGGAGGGTGCCCAGGAGCCACACTCCTCAGATTTCACATGAGAGACCTCTGTGAGTGTGGTGTCTTGGGTCTCTTTGCCTGGCATTCTCTCTATGCTTCTGCTGGATTGTCCTGGCAGGCGTCAGAATGTAAGGTCAGAATGCATGGCCAGGTTTCCATTCGTGACAGCCATTGACTTAAGTTTCAGAGGTCTTCAAGTTCCAGGGATGAGCATTAGAGGAAGCCTGGAAGGGAGATGGGTCGGGAACGCTGAGACCTCCTCAGGTGTGCATGGGGTCTGCTGGCTTAGGTGGAAGGCAGGAGCTGGGGGTTGCCCAGTAGCTGAGGGCTGGGCTTGCCGCTGAGGTGGAAATGGAAATTCAGTGTGGAGACTGCTGTGTGTGCTGTGAGAGTATGTCTAGATGGCTTCCTGGCCTTCCTGCCCGGGACACAGTGGACAACGGTGACCCAGAATGGTCTGTGTGAGGCAGATGATTGGGAGGAGCCCATGGGAATTCTCTGCTAGGGAGGAGGGACTGTTCATTGCATCCTTCAAGCTTGGATTGACTCCAGCTGTGGTGGTTTCAATGAACATCCCTTTCCCTCCCTCCCATAGGTCTATAGGCTTGAATACTTGGTCCCCATTGGTGGCACAGTTTGGGGAGGATTATGAGGTGTGGCCTTGCTGGAGGAGGTGTGTCACTGGGGATGGGCTTGCAGGTTTCAAAAGCCCATGCCATTCCCAGTTAACTCTGTGTCCCTGGTACCCGTGGGTAAGGATGGAAGCTGTCAGCTACTGCTGCAGTACCATGGCTGCCTGCGCTCTGAGGGCCATGGGCTCACTCTCTGAGGTGTAAGCCCCCAATAAACCCTCTGTTCTCTACGTTGCCTTGGTCATGGTGTGTCTTCACAGTAATAAAAAGTGACCAAGACACCATCAGTCCACCTGCCTGTCCTTGCTGAGTGCCGAGCAGAGTGGTTGGTGGGACCTTGAGGACAGACTGGACGTCATAGCTTCAGAGCCTGGGACCCTCTGATGTAGGAAGCTAAGTGGGGGTGGCTGTCTTGAGGATGGCAGGAGTCCCTGAGAAGGGGCTGCATATGAACTCAGCTTTCCCATTGTGGTAGGGCTGTGTGTCCTTTGAGGACGTGGCTGTGTACTTCTCCTGGGAGGAATGGAAGCTGCTAGATGATTCCCAAAGGCTCCTGTACCAGACTGTGATGACAGACATCTTCGAACTTGTGTCCTCACTGAGTAAGTGCCTCCACCCTGCGCCCAATCATGTTAAAGCATGTCTGTACAGGCTTGGCTTGTTTTTTTTTTTTTTTTTTTTCTTTTTTCTACAAGCAGATATATTCTTCTCAAAGCTGGCTTGTGAACAGTGTCTTTGCCCCCACTGAAAGTACAGGTTATAGACACAACTAGTTATGCAACACCTTTTCTCTCTTAAGAACAGTAAAGGCAAACAAATCATTTGAGGTGACAATATCTGTCTGTGTGGTGGGTTATGCAAGACCTCCTGATACTCACTGTATTAACCAAGCTGGCCGGAACTCAGAGAGATCCTCCTGCCTCTGCCTTCCAAGTGCCAGGATTAATGGTATGCATCACTAGGTGGTTGGGAGTCTCAGCAGTGATCAGTCTTCCTTGAGCTGATGCCATGGCATCTCTGTGATCCAGATACTTCTCTCTGTTTTTAGATGGCATGCCTTGTGTCTGCAGGTGGCGGGAATTGTGGCACCGGTGGGCCCATTATTTCTTTCTCTTGCAAGCCACTCTGATAAGGGTTGTCCTCATTAGGGTCTTTCCCTCGGATTATTAGGGGTTGGAGGATCAGTGAGCCCTTGCACAGAACACTCATCTCTTCTGTCATTTTCCTTTAGGACTTGAGCTTTCTGGGATCAGTGACATAACTCAGGTGGAGTCTTGCAGAGATCTCTCCGTGCCTGCACTGAGATTCACGACTCCATGTTTGTGGACAGGTACTTCTAGAGTGGAGATGACAGGTGTACGCACATATTACTTCTGAACCAGGCCTGGCCCTCATGGTCCAGTCTCTTTTGTTTTGCCCGTTGCCTTGCAAAGCTGTGGAACTCAGGCTTTCCTTGATTGTGCTAGTGTGCATTATACCTCGGGCAGTCCTTGAATGCAAGCTCTTCAGTCACCGTGTCTTAGGGGCCTAGACAGCCTGCTGCACTGTGTCCTGCATCCTCAGCAGCCGACGCTTGTAGAAAGCTATTGCTGCGGGCAGTGCCATAATTCTCAGCATGTCTCTCTGTGATTCACTCCATGCTTGTGTTCTTGCTGTCCCTAGCATCCCTAGGCCCTATGATACGGACAAATGGAGCATGGCACTGGGTCCTCACAGCCCTGAACTAGCCCCTTTGTTCTGTGAGAAATCTCAGAACACTGTTAGTAATATGTGCTGCCTGTCTGTCGCTCAACAGTCTCCACGCCGTTCATCAGTATTTCTCACTGTTCAGGTTGTTGGATCAAAGTGGAGAGTGAAGCATCCCCCTTTGAGCAGAGTCTTCCCAAGGAAGGAGAGCTTAATTCATCCATGCTCCAACAGCCCATGCTGAGCCATGCTGAGACACCCTTGCTAAGTGCAGACAATGCAATGATCCTCCAGACTTCCTCAGGTCTTCCCGGGCACCAGGTGACTTACACTGTCGGGGAGGCTGAGAGTGGAGAGGCCATTCCCACTGAGAAGAGGAGCTGCAAATGCACTTACTGTGGCAAAGTCTTTACTAGTATATCTCACCTTAATCGGCACTGGAAGATCCACACTGGAGAAAAGCCTTTCCAGTGCAGCGAGTGTGGGAAATCCTTCAGCCAAAAAGCCTTTCTCATTAAGCATTTCAGAATGCACACCGGGGAAAAGCCTTATAGATGCAGTGAATGTGGCAAAGCCTTCAAGCATAATATCTCCCTCATTTCCCATCAGGGACTCCACACAGGAGAGATGCCCTTTAAGTGCAGTGAATGTGGGAAATCGTACAGGAGCAGGGAAGGCCTTAAAGTTCATTATCGATTTCACACTGGAGAAATGCCCTTTGAGTGCAGTGAATGTGGGAAATCCTACAGAAGCCGAGAAGGCCTTCTGAACCATTTCTACAGTCACACTGCAGAAAAGCCCTTCAGTTGCAGTGAATGCGGGGAGTATTTCACCCAAAACTCTGACCTCATTGAGCATCTGACAGTCCATGGCAAGCCTTTTAAGTGCAATGAGTGTGGAAGAGTCTTTAATTCAAGTTACAACTTTGTCAGACACATGAAAGTCCACATTGTGGCGAAGCAGTATGCATGTAGGGAGTGTGACAAAGTGTATTGCAGTAGCTCTAGCCTGTATAAACACCGGAAGATTCACACTCGGTAAATGAAAGTCTAAAGCGGGCAATAAAGGTAAGAAGTCCCATGGTCATCTAACTGAACACCAGAAAAGCCAGTGGGACAAAAGAAGTGTTGTTAAAGAGCAAATGGCATCATTCACACACACCTCCAACTCATAAAAGTGGAGAGGTCCCTGGACCAGGATATGTCATGAACCCGTGCTTTGGGGAATCCACGTTTGAATCCTCTGAACAAAAGTGTTATCTGAAAACAGCATCACACACACACACACACACACACCCCTGCACAGGTTTCTGAGTGCAGAGATTTTAGGGAATAGCTTCAGCCACTGGCAAACCTTCACTTTAGGACTTCCCCTGACCTTGAATGAGAAGTTATGAGATTACCCTCTGTGAGAGACGCGTCCATTGAAATGTCCTCCTCCAGTAGATCTCTTCCCAAGAAGTTGGTGCGAGGGAAATGAGAGAGGGGGAGTTCTGTTCTTGACTGTACAAGTGTGGAGTGGAGTTTCCATGGGACTCAGCTTGGTTGGAGGAGGAACAGAGTGGCCTTGGATTTGTAATGAGGTGTGGCTTCTCTCTTTACCGAGTGTTACAGTGCCCTGAATAAATGTTTGTTCCCCCCCCCCCCATAGTCTTTCATGGCTCTTTTCAGAGGGTTTCTTCTGTGCTCCCGAGTTTCAGTTAGGTTTCTGTTGATGTGAGATTCTCCCCCCCCCACCCCCACCTCAAGACAGAGTTTCTTTTTTTAGCCTTGGTTGTCCTGAAATTCACTCTGTAGACCAGGCTGGACTTGAACTCACAGAGACCAGCCTGTCTCCACCTCCCAAGCACAGGGATTAAAGGTGTGAGCCACCACCACCCTCTCTCTCTCTCTCTCTCTCTCTCTCTCTCTCTCTCTTTGATGAATGTTTGGTTGCATATATGTATATCCACCCATATACATATGTCTATGTTTGTATACAACATATGTGTCTGGTGCTGACAAAGGTCATTAGAGGGCATATCCTCCCCCTGGAACTAGAGGAACAGGTGGTTGTGAATCACAGTCTCAATACTAGGAAAGAAATGCATGCCCTTCACCACTGAGCTATCTCTCCAGCCTGGAGTTTTACTAGTTCTGATGAGAGCAGCTCCGTGGTGTCCCCTGTGATCTCATGTTGAAATGTAGCCCAAATGCTTCCATTTATGTGTTTGCCTGTGTGTATGTGTGTGTCTTGAATGCATGTGCTGTGTTCTCTGTGAAGTGTGGGCCCTTTCAAATTTTGTGCTTTTCTTGGTTCTGTGTGTACATGTGAGTGTATACCCCAGCATAGTTCTGTAGTGTTTTTTAAATTCTCATGGGCATGTGTGTGGGGTTTGTTTGGTTTTACCTTTATTTTTTGGGGGGTGGGGGACAGGATCTCACTTTGTAACCCTGACTAGCCTGGAACTCTGTGTAAACTGGGCTGGCTCTGAACTGAGAGATCTGTAGGCCCATGCCTCTTGAATTCTGGGATTAAGGTGAGTGCTACTGCACCTGGCAATATTCTGACATGACTTAGTATTTCTGAGAACTAGTAGCAAAGTCCATTCCCTTTCTCTGTCCTTGAGCGTTATATGGCAGAGCTGTTGTATGCCTGGCCTGCCTCAGGATCTTGACTCTCATAAGTCAGTGTCCTGAGCACTGGGATTGTATGTACACCACCAGGCGAAGGTAAGGCCATTACCACACTTTGAGCCCAATTTAAAGCAAGCTTTGTTTTCTCTGCCACTTAAAGAATTAAAAGGCAGGAAAACTCTCCCATCCTAGAGATAGCAACACAGAAAATTGTAAAACATGGCAGTCATGAGCAGACAGCATCAGCCAGTCAGAAAATTTTAACTAGGGGGATGAGGAAATGCATACAGCAAGCACACAGAGAGCTGGGTACTCTGGAAGCTGAAGCTCAACCTCTCCTTGAGGGCTATTTTCCTTTCCTTTTTTCAAAGTCTTTGAAGGGTTTTCTGTTAATCCAATGGGGCAAGAATAAGACCACTAGCACAATTTTTGAGTCAAATTTAGCCAGGATGATGGATAGTGGCCATGTCCATACTCGGGATTCCCAGATTATAGCATCAAATTACATTAGTCAGAAGATTTATAAAGGCAAACCCCACAAATGCTCTCATAATAATGTTATTTATTTCAATTAGGTTTTAATTGCCCATTTGTGTATGAGTGTTGACCCAGTACTGTTTCAACAAGTACTTTCAAGAAAATAGAGTGAGTAAATACAGGCCGGCCCTGAGAAGCCAGCTCTGAGTTTCATCCAACTGCTAGGGGTACACTGCCAAGGACAAAACTCTGCCGAGGTTCCTTCCACAGGGACGGGAAGATGCCTCTGTGTGAGCCTGAGGAGATGAGCCATCAATGGGCTGCTCTAACTGTATGATTGACCTTCCTTTTTTTCCAAAAGGAGTGAGTGGCCATGAAAACCTGCTGAGCCACATCTGTACCACCAACAGCCATGTCTCAACCACAGCCCAGAATCCTTACACTCTAAAACTTTAATTCTGCAGCCACCCATCAGAACTACCGACTAGCCAACAACACCTCTGTGGGGAAGTGCCTAACAGGCCCTCCACACCCTTCTGCTCCTTCATAGCCCTTTCGAAACAAATGTTTTAAGAATTCTCCTTCAGTACAGGGCCAGGCTTTGTGATGGTCCTAATTCCACTGACCACCCTTTAGTTATCCTCAGTTTAAATTATTATTTGATTAATTGCAGTTTCCTCTTCTGGGTTTTCTGTCTTCTTAAATAAATAAACAAGTAAGAGAAGCCAGGCGTGGTGGTGCACAACACCTCTGGCTTCTTAGCATCTTTTTTTTTATTTATTTTTTTCTTGTGTGTATTGGTGTTTTGCCTGCATGTGTGCCTGTATGAAGTGTCAGATCCCCTGGAGATGGAGTTATAGGCAGTTGTAAACTGCCATGTGAGTGTTGGGAATTGAACCCAGGTCCTCTGGAAAAAGCAGTTGGTTCTCATAAACTCTGAGCCATCTCTCCAGCCCCTTCTTAGTATAGATACATAGACAGGTGATAGATACATAGATACATAGATAGATACATAGATAGATACATAGATACATAGATAGATACATAGATACATTGATAGGTACATAGATAGATACATAGATAGATACATAGACAGATGGAAAATAGATTATAGATAGATAGATACATAGATACATAGACAGATGGAAAATAGATTACAGATGGGTGGATGGATACATAGATATAAATAAATAAGGGAAGCCAGATGTGGTGGTGCCCACCTTTAATCTCTGCATTTGGGAGACATACAGGCAGATCTCTTGATTTTGAGACCAGTCTGCTCTTCAGCAAGTTCCAGGACAGCCAGGACTATAATGTAAGTACCGGTTTCAAATAAATAAGTAACCAGGGGTGGGGCTGCTACTGGAGAGATAGCCCCCAGGGTCAGGAAGGCTTTCTTCTCTCTGGGGACAAAGTGCAGCTTCCAGCACCTAATCCTGGTAGCTTATAGCTGCCAGTAACTTCAACTCCTGGGGATCCAATTCCCATTGCCCCTGGAGGCAAACATGCATGTCCACTCTTGCTCATAAACACTAATGTAAATTAAAATCCACAGAGAGAAAAAGAAAGAAATAAAATGACTTTGGGGCTTGTGAAATGGTTCCAGAGGGAAAGGTGCTGGCCACCAAGCCTGACAACCTGCATGCTTGGAGATTCATGTGACCCCAGACTCATCTGACCCCCATTCCCAACTGTGAGCGTACATAAAATGAAAAATGTAAAGAGAGAATTGCAAAGAAAATTTTACACACACACACACATACACACACACACACACACACAAATATATATGAAATGGACTAGAAAGAGCTCAGAACCAATTTCCCAGGGTTGCTAAGAAGAAAACAAACAAATAAGAACTTGAGCAGACAAGTTAAAGTGTAACTCCAGAAGCTGCCAGGAGAAAACATATGGTAAGCCATGTTTGAGTCTGACTGGGGCTGGCCTGTTCCACTGATGGATACCATACCATGAAGCAAGTTCATGTACACAGTAGCTTCATGCTGGCAGGGATGTGGGTTTGGAGAACCAACTAGAAAAGACAAAAGTGTCAGGAAATGTACACCCAGGAGTGCAAAGACAGACAGGCTACCTTTCCAAGTCCGAAGAGGTTCTGCAGGCCGCCCAAGGGAAGCTGGGAAGCCCCAGCATATCTGTGCGGATGATGTCTATGGAGGGCAGTTTCAGAATCTCCGCAGGGGACTCAGATTGCTTAGGTGGTAAGAATTCCAACCCCTAAGCTCTTGGACAGATGACTGACAAGCCCGGTTGGATTAGCCCTAAAAAGGATTTACTTATTTTGTGTGTATGAACCTTTGGTGCCTGTATAAAAGTGGACATATGTCTGTGGGGACCAGGAGACGGCAACAGATTCCCCTGAAATAGATGTGCTGTGGGACCTGAACCTGGGTCCTCTGCAAGAGAAAAACTAAATCCAATTTTATTAGACTAGCCAGCTGGCTGCCTCTCCCAAAGTCAGGATTTCAGGGAGCAGTTCCTCCATTGACTGTTGAGGTCCCTTTTACTGGAAAGGGTTAGAGTTGATAGAAAACAGCTGTCGATATAGTTGGCTGTTTGCTCCTGGGGGATTCAGTGTTCAAACACCTGGGAGACTCAGGACTTAAGGCTGCCTGAAGGATAGATAAGTGCAAGAATGTGTCATGCAGCCGGGAAGTTAATAAGGTGTCTGGGAAGACACATTTTCCTAAGACAAAAGGGCAATCATGGGTTCGAGAGATTAGCAAGGCAAAGCAGGTAGGCATACATCATCTGGTCATAAGTTCAGCATAGGTTGAAAAGCATGGTTAGCAGGAGATATTAGGTTTAGGAGATTTAGTAACAATGTATAACAATGTGGCTTCTGTTTTGGTTTCACACGCCAAGCACCTTGATTCAACCTCTGAGCCATCTCTCCCTAGCCTCTGGTTTAGCTCTTTTACATGTAGGAAAGGACATGTATAACAGAACATGGAGTTTAAAATATCAACTCTCAGCTGGGTGGTGGTAGCACATACCTTTAGTCCTAGCACTTGGAAGGCAGAGGCAAGAGGATCTCTGTGAGTTCAAAGCTAGCCTTGTGGTGTACAGTGTGAGTTCCAGCACAGCCTGGGCTACACAGAGAAACCCTGTCTCCAAACAAAACAAAATCAATTCTCCACCTCAACCTGGAATTTAGAGTGTAGTCCCCAACTGCTTTAATGGGCCTCAATGCAGATGAGAAATCCCCAACCCTAAAGAGTGGTAAAGTTGAAGTTCACCCTTCCAGAGCTACCAGGATGGATCCCTATATGGGATCATGGCCCTGTGTTCCAGTTTATGACACACCCTGGGACAATCAAGCAATCGGGTGAGGGATCACCCAGAATTCACTTGAAATACTCCTGCAATGAGACTCTTGGAGAGCAAGGCAGAAGAACTTGGCAATCCCTATCCAAGGCTTGAACAGGTCACTTGAAGAGTCTCAGACTTCCTCCTCTCCTACCTGCCTGCCCTGGTCAATACAGGGTAAACCAGCAGGCAACACAAGTCTGATCCGAAAC